CAGACTTGTTATAAGGGAAATCCAATTCTACTGTTTATCTCGTTGTATTTTTTATATTAATCAATTATATTTTAATCATTTCAATCATACAACTATTTTCTAAAACTATTGTTTGATTTAATGAAAACTAAAATTAATTAATATCTACAAAGTCTCTCGGATAGATAAACTTTTTTACATTCACTATTATACAATATATTTTTCATGTCATCATTTATCGTTTAAAGCTCGAAATGACGTTTGATATAATTTCAACGTTGATTGATTAAAAAATGACATTAAAAATTGAATTTTGAACATATTTTACATCAGAGGTTTGTATTATACTTTACTTGGTCCTTTAGGAAACAATCTAACAATGATTCTTATGATGATATAAAAATACATGTAATTTTTATTGGATTTATCAAGTAAATTAACATCTGTTTACCGGATAGGTTATTCATGTCTTAGATGTGATATGTATTTTTATATTTTTTAATAATTTTATAATATATAAAATATGATTTGCAAGTTTTATTTCTTATTAAATTAAAGCACTTGCAAGTTTGCTGAAACATGATATACATTTTTTTTTTCAAGAATCGTGTTATAAATATACTAGTCGTTCGAATAATAAAGAGGTGTTGTAATTTTTTAGGTTTTTAATTTTGTATTCTTTCTAAGAAAAAAGAATTAAAAAGGATTAAAAAATTCAATTAATAAAAATAGGTTAGAGTCTAATAATTTGCTTATTCTGTTCTAGTTATCTCATTCTTAAATTTCCTTGTATTATATTATTATTCGATACTAGTTATATTTCTCAAATTTGGGTCAATTGTCTCTCACATTCAAAAATAAAAAAAATAAAAATTAGACTAATAAAATTAGATAAAAATAAACCTAACCGTAAATTAATTTAAGGGATTAAATATATATTTAAGTATATTTTAATATATTAAATAATATTAAATAAAAATGCTATAATATTTATGATTTCCTAATATTAAAATTAAATAAAACTATATCAAAGTGTAAAAATATTTAATTAAATATAATTAAATAGATTACTCATAGATTTGATATTATCTGATGAACAGAAAAATTTAACTTTAAGTATCATGTTAGTAATCTAAAGTGGGGCAAAAGTTGTTTTGCTAATATATTCTTGGTTAATTATATAAACGGTTGAACTAGATATTAAACAAGTCTAAAATATCTCTATGATTTTGACGTAGAACTAGAGTTTTATATGTACATATATATATATATATATATATATATATATATATATATATATATATATATATATATATATATATATATATATATATATATATATATTTTTACATAAGTTGCAGAGTTGTGAATGTATGAGACTTAGCAAATACCCTGAACTATATATCATGCATCACGAACCATGTCATCATCACTTTACAACGGAACATAAGAAAATAAGATGCATCCAGAAAGAGGATGAAAGATTTAAAACAAAACGCTGTGAAATTGTCAACCAAGGTTCCAATTTGCAGATAAAGTGAGAGTCGTTTTATTCTTTTTCATGTTGGAAATTGTTGAAAGCGTTTGACGCTGGATCAATGTTCGAACACTTGGCACATACCCACTTGTGCTTCATTATTATAAAAAGGAATAACACAACAATGTGTGTCCTACAATAAAAGAAGGAACAAAATGGATATACCTAAGTTTTAATTTCATTTAACCTATTAAAAAAATTAAAGGGAATTTTTACTTTCAATACATTTTTGGACCCTTGTAAAACAAATTCTACAAAAACGAATTAATTCCCTTATATATCTACAAATATTTTAATACTAATTAAAAATTAAGTATTTGGTCATTATATAATAAAATATACAAAATATATCATCATTCAATTATAAATTATCCTATAATTGAACATTGTAAATATTACAGTAATTGTTTTAAAATTATACTTCACTTTGTGATTACAAATTAATTACAAAATACATTTATTAACAATATGCCAAAATTAAAATAAGATATAAACTATAATGGATTAGTTATAATTTGTGAAGGTTTTTATGTGTAGCACATGAATGACAAATATTTGGAGTGTGAATGTTGTTGAGCTCCCTTAATTTGCAATGATGCAATACATATCAATAGCCCTTTTATAATAAAAAAAAATTATAGTGAATTAATTAATTTACTTAAATTAGTGTCACTTTATTATGATAAAATAATTAAATTTACTATAATTAAATAAAAAAATGAATATTTATTAAAATACAAAAGGAGATAAGGAGTGTGAGTGATATTTAAAAAAATTTACTGCTAATAACTAGTGATGGGATAATAATACAAAGTGACCTATTCTTATTTTCTCTATTTAATTTCCACCACTAAATTGCCTTCGATTTAGGTTGGAAACTCAAATATAAAATGTAACTCAATAAGAATTAAAGTGACAAAAATGCAACTTTTAAGTATAATATATAACAAAACCCTTCAAGGATAAAGGAACTACATTCTGATAAATCGTCATCTCAAATAATTCTGAATGAGGAAAAACATGCATTTGTATTCAATCTCTGTCTCTTACTAATTGTAGGCAGGTTTTTAATCCTTTGCAAGAACAAAACTTGGACACGTTACGTCAAGATATAATCTGAATATTTGGTCCAAAGAGGCTTAGAATATTATATCTCATTTCAAATCTTCTTATGCTACCCCTCTGCTGATAAGCCTCCAACTGTGAGGTGAAACATATATAGCGAATAATGGGAATATCTTCATGTGTTTTGAATATATTCCACCTTCCTTCCTTCCTTTCCCCTTCAATTTATCAACAATTTGAAGCCCTAACCCTAATTAATCTCTCTCTTTTTTTTTTTTTTGCAGAATAACTTCACATGTTAAGTTTGTTTATCTTTGGAGGATATATTACCACAAACTCTGCACATTGAAGCTTATCACTAGACAGAATCCTCTTCCATCAAAATAGCAATTATGGATGACTTGAACTTTTTTCTAACTTCGTATAAGTTCTAAAGTATATATCTATGAATTGGATAAAAATATTCTGAGCTATCCATAAGGTTTTTCTTTTAAACATGGGGTGGCTTACATAATTATAGTAACAGAAAAAAAAAACTCACCTACCCAGTTCGTCAATCGAAAGTAAAAGGTTTAAAAGAAGCTCCCTTTCAGTGATAATGACTCCATTAACCAATGCCTTTTATGGGAAAGAAGACACTAATCTCAGCCACTACTTCTGTTGATGAATGGGTACTTGACACCTATAAAGTCTTTGGGGGGAACCATGCTTTTTTCTTATACTTTTTTCTTTCAAACACACCCTTGAAAAATAGATACCCTATAAAGAGAGTCTAAGGCAAATAGCTACAGCTTGTTTTTTTTGGTGGTTATCTTACCTACATATATATAAAGAATTTTCATGTGCTTTCTGGTTTGTTTGGTATCCTACTCCATATCTTCTACAGTAAAACGAAGCTCTAGGACTGTGCATTGCATTCTTCATTTTTGTTTGACCAGTACATATATAATTGAAGATATTTTATTCAGTGGTAGCATGCATGTTGTTTACGGTCAAAAGGCAAAAGAAAAGTAAAGAGCTGAAAGTAGAAAAGATAACATCATTTCAAGATTTATCCGTTAATGTTTAGCTGGAAAAGGTAAAGAAAAGATCCAAACTTGAACTTATTTTGAACAAGTTATAGGGACTTCTGCTAAAATTCATTATTATGTCTTACGCACTACTGTTCTTACACTGTTTTTCCCATTTTAAAAGATTTCATATTACTCTTCTGTTTTTTAATGAAATATAGATTACTATGTTTTGTTTTTCTCAAGTTTACTTCACAATGTTACGGATAATTGATGCATCATATATGTAATTTTAGTTCGCCAGCTACATTCTCGAGCAATTGCATATATATGTAAATAAATAATGAAAAAAAGGTTTTCACTTTTTACTTTATAATTCAGATATTTTCCGCTAGCTCCATATTAAATAAAGTACATGCTCACTGACTTTGATTACATAATGAAAAAGGTCATCACTTTATCATCTACAAGAAAGTTTAACATTCATACAACTGTTAAGTGCATTTTAATTTTTCATTTTCATTCTAATATATATTTTAACTTCTATTTCACCAACTGCATATAAGAATAAACAAAAACATAACAGTAACCCCCCAAGCTATAGCAGAAAATGATTGACTAATATATATAGTTTATATATATTCCTAGAACCTACATATAAATTTTAAAACATAGTTCTGATTTAGTTAATTACCATAGTAAAAAAGCATGCAATTAAAGAGTGGAAGCTGCAAAAAGGCATTACGCATTTTCATACTTTGAGGACAAGTGGATATTATGAAATCAGATATTGGGCCCCGAAGCTGTTTTGATTATTACAAACCTTTTCCCAGAAACTTTAAAAATCTGCATTACTTTTTTCACAGAAAAAGATAAGGAATCAAAGAAATGCTCTCCACACACGTGGCTGGGTTGAATGCAATGCAATGCCGTCATATCCATCCATCCATCCATCAACACTACATTTCCCGTTGTAAAGGTAAAACCATAAATAAAAAAAAGGAAAAATAGCAGATACCAAAACCCATACTTTTTATTATTATTATCTTATTTGAGCATAGCCAACAAATTACAAAACAATAACATCGTTAAACAGCAAACAACAACAGTAGTGACAGCAAAACCAACAGTAGCAGCAGATGGTGGTCTCTCCTAAGACTATATATTGTGTTACCATTCAATCACATCCTTGTGTGCTTCTCGTGCCTAGCTTCCCCACTTTATATAGCTACCGGTTCTCTCATGTGACTCTACCTAGCTCTTCTTTCTCCTTTCTCCTTTCTACTCCTCCTTCCATCTAATTCACACACACATCCATCTCAGTTAATTAATTTTTATAGTACTACCATCTTCACATCTCTTCTTTCTCATCACTGCTTTCATATCTGAGTGGATCATCAACTTCTGAGATGATGCCCCCTGAGCAAGAAACCACTATTGCACCAAACATTCCACCCATCTCTATCCGACCAGAGACCAGCTCGGTCCACCATGAACCAGAGGGTTCTACCACTAACAAAATCAAACCAAGTCTGGAACTAGATGATAATGGCATTCCCATGCAGCATCAGACTCAGCCAACACCACCAACACCACCACCACCAAGATTTTCCGTTCTTCACCAAGCCTTGCGCCCCATTATCCTCAAAGTACTTATCAATCTTCTCTCTCCTCATGATATATATGTTACTACCTGCTTAGATTGACAAAAGTAATTTTATAATTACTATCTTTTTCCATCGATAATTATATAATAATTATTATTATTTTTATTTTATTTCATAGCTTCAAATATTTGTCTTTAGCAATATACATAAAATAAATATGCAGAAAGATAAGCTTGATCTTGATCTAAAAAACATGAAATAAGATAAAAGAAAAAGCCGAGCTTATGTAAATTGCTGCAAGAGATAGTTGTAACAAGAATCTTTCTCTAATCACTGTAAATTGGTCTATCTTGTGTGGTGTAGTTCGAAGACGTGTCTTACACTATAACCTTCGAAAGCCAGAAGAAAAAGGGTTGTGTTTTACGTAAAGAGTCAAAGCTAAGAAGAAAGGTGCTGAGCGGCGTGACCGGAGTAGCGAACCCAGGCGAGTTAACAGCAATGCTGGGTCCCTCCGGGAGCGGCAAGACGACCCTTCTAACCGCCCTGGCGGGCAGGCTCGCCGGGAAAGTGTCGGGCACGATAACGTACAACGGACGCAGCGACACCTCCTTCTTGAAACGAAAGGTTGGGTTCGTGCCCCAAGACGACGTTCTCTACCCTCACCTCACAGTGTTGGAGACTCTCACTTACGCGGCTCTGTTGAGGCTGCCCAAGAGTTTGAGCAGAGAAGAGAAGAAGGAGCACGCGGAGATGGTGATCGCGGAGCTTGGCCTCACACGGTGTCGTAATAGTCCCGTTGGAGGGGGCATGGCTCTGTTCCGGGGCATTTCGGGTGGGGAACGGAAACGGGTCAGTATCGGGCAGGAGATGTTGGTCAACCCGAGCTTGTTGTTCGTGGATGAGCCCACTTCGGGTTTGGACTCCACCACAGCCCAACTCATCGTATCGGCGCTCCGAGGGCTCGCCCGGGCGGGTCGGACCATCGTGACCACCATCCACCAGCCTTCCAGCCGGTTGTATAGGATGTTTGATAAGGTGGTGGTCTTGTCCGACGGCTACCCCATTTATAGCGGGCATGCGGGTCGGGTCATGGACTATCTCGGATCTGTTGGGTATGTCCCGGCTTTCAACTTCATGAACCCGGCAGATTTCCTACTTGACCTTGCTAACGGTAAGTAGTATGTAGTGCGTAACCGTTTTATTGCTTCATTTATTTTAGTGTTTCATAATATTTATTTTGACTAGAAAATATTCATGGTTAAACATGATTTCATATATGATCTTATACATATTGTTTAACTTTTTATTGGGCTAGTGAATTAGGGTTAAACTAAACACGATTATATTCAATTTAATATAAAGTATAGTGAGAAGTGTATGGTTAAATTAATGTTAGCCACAAACTTTTTAATATATGGTGAGGGGAATTTGTTTGGGAAAGTTTGTGAATGGGGCACTAAACATGTCTTTATGACTTTGAAACCTGAAAGGTTGTTGTTTTTTATTTTGTGATGCGAAAGGAAAGTTTGGGAGTTTGTGGATGTCGACTTCAGGAAACAAGATTGACTTTTTGAGATTTTACACTTGTCGTTAATCGGGTACGTGAGGGTTCCTTTTCAGATTTCAAATAATGGAGGTGTGTAAAGATGGAGGATTTTATTTTATCTGAACTCATGAGCCTTGTTCTCAAGGCGGCAACACCTGGTAATAATGGGTCATTAGAAGCAGTAAATTGATAAGACACTACTATTAGAGAAAAAGTTATTCATCCCTCTTGGACCAATTTCGCAACATGCATGTGAGTTCTCTTTTGTGTTGGCATCGATCAATACAGAACAAACTTTATGCAATCTTTTTATTTATTAAGGAGACAAACTTTATGTTGTAGATGTTAAAGGTGTTCGGAATGGTCCGATTCTCATGGTGGCCAGATAATTTTTGTTAAAGCTATTAATCATTGTTCTTTGTGTTTATTGCCTTTAATTAACCTTCAAATCTTTTTGCATATCTTTCTATGCATCACACGCTCTGACGAGACATTATAAATTCTTACGAAAAAGTTATTTTGTTCTCCAATCATAAGTGCTTCTTATTCTTTTTCCTTTTCTTCTTTGAATATGGGGTCGCTAATTTAATCAAAACCTAACAACGATGGAGTCTTTAGCCAGTGTTACGCCAATTAGAAGCCATTCTACTTTAATTCTAAATTTTTATGAGAGATAAAACTGAATTTCCTAGAATTGCACAGGATATTTGAAGCACAGAAACAGTGATGATGGAGGCATCTTAGAGCATGGTTGATGATTAGTCGTTGGATGTCTTGTAATATTTGGTCTCACATAAGTAAAAACAAATTGGTGCATTTGGATTGGAATTTGATGAAAGGCATGGTGAAGATCTCTAATACTTTAGATTCTGTGGTTTGACAGGCATCGTTGCTGATGTTAAACATGATGATCAGATAGACCACCCTGAGGATCAAGCTTCAGTCAAACAGTCCCTAATTTCATCCTTTAAGAAGAACTTATATCCTTCTCTTAAAGAAGATATTCAACAAAATAACAGTGACCCTCTGGCTTTTGCATCAGGAACACCTAGACGTAAGTGAAATTTTCTTGCTCTCTTGACGTTGACAACAGTTAGTTATGCATAACACCATGGCTAAATGATCATTGTCTATGCCTTGTAGGCTCTGACAACCAATGGACCACTAGCTGGAGGGAGCAATTCAGGGTTCTTCTTAAGAGGGGTTTACAAGAAAGGAGGCATGAATCTTTTTCTGGTTTGAGGATTTTCCAAGTACTGTCTGTGTCCATTCTTTCAGGACTTCTGTGGTGGCACTCTGATTCTGCACATGTACAAGATCAGGTATTTATGAACTTATATTTTGATTTTTGGGAGGAAAATTCAAGGATGCAACTGACCATTTTTCTTGTGTTATATAATATGCATTGAACACTAAGTAGAAAGTGGTAAGTTTATTTAGTTGCACTTATGACAATACAACCCTTGTAACAGGTGGGACTCCTGTTCTTCTTCTCCATCTTCTGGGGATTCTTCCCCCTCTTCAATGCCATCTTTGCATTTCCTCTGGAGAGGCCAATGCTAATAAAGGAAAGATCTTCAGGGATGTACCAACTGTCCTCGTACTATGTTGCCAGGATGGTGGGGGACTTACCAATGGAGCTAGTGCTTCCTACCATATTTGTAACTATATCCTACTGGATGGGTGGTCTCAAGCCTTCATTGGTAACATTTGTGTTAACCCTCTTGATCATGCTTTTTAATGTGCTAGTCTCTCAAGGCATAGGCCTAGCTCTTGGGGCCATCCTCATGGATGTGAAGCAGGCCACAACTCTAGCTTCAGTGACCATGCTGGTGTTTCTCTTGGCTGGTGGTTACTACATTCAGCAAATGCCTGCTTTTATAGCTTGGTTGAAGTACATTTCTTTCAGTCACTACTGCTATAAGCTACTGGTAGCAGTCCAGTATCCAATAAATGAGGTATATGAGTGTGGACCAGAGTTACATTGTAGGGTGAGAGATTTCCCTGCCATAAAGTGTCTTGAGCTTGATGATAACATGTGGGGTGAAGTGGCTGCATTGACTGTAATGTTGATTGGATACAGAGTTGTGGCATATCTAGCCTTGAGGATGAGGCAGCCTCACTGAGAAAAGACTTAACAAATTAGAGACCGTGTTAATTATTTCTAGTTTGATTGTTCGAATCACCACCTCAGTTGTGGTAATTCGATTCAAATTGTAAGGTGAAATCTTAAGCCCTGGTGATTAATTAACATAAATGAAGTGATCAAAATTTGTTGATATAGTCCAATTTTTTTATGGAGAACAACCAGCCGTACCAGTAGACTCCATCTAGTGTATTAGTTATCAAGATGGCAATGGTTTATTGCTGGCATCATAAGGTGATTCTTGCTCTTCATTGACACGGTTGTTGTGGCAGCTTGACATATATTACTAAGAAGTAAATGCGTATTCTCTCAACGTATGTATTTGGCCTTGTTTATCTATCAGACCAGCACACTGCTGTTCTTTCTTTATATATTTCTAACTTCACTTCACTTTTATGGATTCATTCAATGATTGTCTTTTTCAAGTGAAGTTGCAAAACCAGTCTAATTAATTGAAAATAGCCGCACACCATATTTTGTGTAGCAGACTCCATACTTGTCACATGATTCAGTGAGACTGGTTTCATGAAACAAAATTGTAATGAACGTTGAACTAAAGGCTGGGACAATATATATATATATATATATATATATATATATATATATTGAAAATAAAACTTGAATTATAGTTAATAATATTTCCTGTATTTGTAAAAAGATGCAGTTTTGATAGAGTTCAGTCGCTAAATTGATTTCAAAAAGTTAATCACTTAGTTCAACGAACCACTTTAGGGTAAGTGTTCTTAAACTCAGAATATTTTCTGCAAGAACTTATTTTGGCAATATTTCTTTAAATAAATATGATCTGTTATGTGTTACACTACACCAAGGAACCCTTCATCCTATGAAACTTAATCTATTATTTGAAAAATAAATGCACAGATAAAGTCTTTATCTGGGACAAGTTACTGATCCATCCAATTTTGGGTCTCCTTAATCATAGTCAATTTCATTTTAAAACTAATTGAGATTTTAAATAAATACATAAATAAGTATATATATATATATATATATATATATATATATATATATATATATGGAGAGAGAGAGAACATGCATATTGAGACAAAAGTGGTATATATAAAATGAAAAATGTTGTTTTGATTTTATGAAGCCCAGAGCAAGGTGGTGACATACGTGAGCAAAGTAAAATAAACTAACATGAATAACTCAACAATAACAAAACAAATTTTAGGATTAGTGTTTAGGAGAAGTAAATTTTATAATAAGCTTACAGAAAAAAAATAACATTTGATACTTTACTTTATCTCATAAAAGCTAATCCAAACTCACAAGAAGAGACTATTTACAAAATGAGAAAATTCTAAGGATTAATAGAGGTAAATTTGGAATCTAGTTGTTTATCCGTAAAAAGATTAAATGTAAGGATTAAATAAAATAAAACTAAAGTTTGAAATATTTATTCATAAAAATAAAGTTAAAATCTTCTTTAGAATGAAACTAAAAGTTATAATGTTTTGTTTTTGAAAGAGATAAAGTTCAAAAAAATATTTTTTTTTAATTACAAATTCAATTTTATAATTTTAATTACACTTAAAAAAATACATTGCAGCTAAATACAAACTATTAACGTCTTCTTCTTTTTTTATCTTATTGGGCCGGTTAGGTATCATTTAATTTTGATATTTGTTTTCATCATAGTCTTTATGCTTGAAAAAAAGAGAACTTTTTTTTAATCAATATTATTATTTTTTCATTAATTTCATCAACAATAGTTTTTTTGTAATTTTTTTTTCTACAACTCTTTTTAGTAATTTAATACTTGATAGATAGATAAAAAAAAAAAAAAGTCTAAAGATGAGAAGAATATTTGTGTCTGGAAAAGGTGATCATATAAGTTACGTATCTTTTATTTATCAGGCCGAGACAGCTTGGAATTACATGGCAGGAAAATAACATAAGCAAGTGATATAAAGTCTATAGACAGCAGCACTAAACATGGTTGAAAAACACCATATAACAGTATCCATATGGATTCTTCTCATTATTCCAAGACCATTCTTTCTTCAGCTTATTTACTGCTGCTTCCCTGATCAACCATTCAAAAGACAATTTGATCAATGCCAGAGTCAGTCAACACAGGAAAATCATGCATGCATGCATGTATTGTGTTGTAGGCTATGGTGTGAGTGTGACATGACTACAATTATCACTTTCCAAACTGAGATACAATATTATTTTTAATGAAGTTAACTTGTTTATATTATTCACACATGTATCATATATATATATACCTTCTTCTTAGCCTGGCTTGGAGTTTTCTTTGGAGCTGGTTTGGAGGCTGGGGCTTTAGAGGTGCCTGAACTAGGTTTGGCAGAAGTCTCTTTCTTCACCTGCCCTGCAGAGGAAGAACATTTTTCAACAGGTTTCTCAGCTTTGAGGGATGCCATTTTACACTACTCTTCTAAGCAAACACTTCACCTAGCCTCAAGTTTCAACACTACAGGATACATCAATTTATAGCTGAGTTAAGCATAATAATAGGCCAATTACACCAAATTGGCAGTAACCATCTTGAGGGAATGGAATAAACTCAACTGTGGACTAATGGAAGGATAATGCTGCAGCATATTATACTTTACCTTAGTTAGGCAGCAGATTGGATTCATATTCTACAATTTGGTTTTACATGTTGAGGCCTGCATGATTCATATGCTGCTGTTTATCATCAACCTTCTAGAAGACTTGTATTTTCTTTGTTTGCTAACAGCTATATACCTTTTCAATTGATAGGATATAGATAAAACGTTAATATCCTTGTTTGTTAAAGACAACAGCAACAAAATTCGTGCCAAAAGAATTAACAACAAATAAATTAATTATTTATTACATTTTATTCTCACAAGATTGGTTTGCTATAAAGTATATATAAAGGACCGCACGTAACAATTATACATATTTTGTGCTTTTATTCTACATTTATGCACGAATTTTTGTTAGTGAGAAAACTTTTTCTTCTGTCTAAGCTATGTCTGCATCAATTTCGGTACATGAAACTAATGTATAATTGTCACAGTTAAAAAATCTCACCTGTCATTCTCAAAATTGCCAATTATATATATATATATATTTTTTTTCTTATAATTAGATTAAAATAAAATAAAAAAAATATTATGTACACATTTTCATAAAATTATTAGAATTTTTATAGAGATTTTCACTATGTTTAGGAGTTAGATGATTTTGAAATAGAAATAAGTAGAGAATAATTATTTTTTGATAAATATTTTAAAATAAAATTATACAGCAGTATAGATATAAGAATTCAATTAGAATTCATATGGACATAGTGTAAACATCATTTAACCAATTATTTTTTATAATAATAATTCATATCTTAAATGAGTTATAATCTGTTAATAATGAATAATTATATAAACAGTGCATTTAAATTAAACTCTAAAATCAAATTCTCAATAGTTTTGCTTATTTTTTTAAAATATACATTTTTTAAAATTTAAATATAAAAATTACTCATTTTTACGCAAAATAAATAGTTTGTTATGATGTTTACCTTTATATTTATTTTAAAACTAGAATAAAAAAATTAGTTATTTCTTATAAATTTTCTTTTAAAATTTTATTTAAATTTGTTAAAAACTTATATTTTACAAATTTTTATAAAAATTTATAAAAATATTCTGATCAAATATAAGAATTTCTAGTAATAATAAATAAAACAATACTTACACCATCACAAATAGTCAAGAATTTTAACATTGAAATGGGAAAATTAAGTCATTAAAATACAATTTGGAAATTAAATTTATAATTAAGACTAATTATAATTTTTATTTAAAATTAAATACTCTAACTTGTAACTACAATCAAACAAGTTGGGCCTATAACTATTAACACGCTCTGAATTGACCCGTATTTTAATTGATTGTTCGTGTAGGCCGTAGCAGCCAACCCAAATACTTTTTTTTTTTAACACATTATGTTAACATATATATTGAAAAAAAGATTGTTATGCTTAACAAAATAAAAACTCAAACAAAATTTCTGTACAAAATTCTGACCAAAATATTTAATAAAAATAAATATAAAAGTTAAGACAGGAGGAATTACTAATAATAACAAACTCTATTTTTATAGTTTATTAATTCATATTTAAAGCATATAATTTTAAAATGATTACATGATTATTAACTGATTTGTAATTATTTAATAAAAGTCTTAACTGTTTGTACATAAATGAGATTTTTTACTTTAAGCAAACATTAAGAGTTAGATGAGGAAAAGAGAAAGCAAACATATTCAAGTATCATCCTCTGGAAACTGTGGGTGATGGTGGGTGACTTCTCACTTCAAATTCTCATCATATGGGTCCAATTGGATAAGGATGCTTTCTTCTAGACTGAACCATGCACAGGTGTTCAACCAATAGATATTCATCCTGCAGTGCACCACCTGCTAAATAAATAATACACCAATATAAATCCAATCTTGCAAGAACTCTTTATTTCTTCATTGGGACAAAATCTGCAACAAATTTAATATTTGTTGATATTTCAGTTTTTGGACCTTCAATGGTATGTTTCTAAACAGAACAAAATGTTTGGCTATATCTTTTTCTTCTATACTTGTAAAATGTTAAATTAATAAAAAACCTATCATTTGTAAGGGAAAGAAGTATATTTTTAAATCAGTATAAAACGAATATCTAGTGCAGTCTGAGTAATATTAAACTAAAATTCTTTAAATAACCAAGTTCTATGTTTCAATTACTTGCAAAAACAAGCATAGTTCTTTTTTATCTTTCTGGATAATGCACCGTTTTATTAACCTTCTGGATTCCAATTTGAACAGAGAGAGAAGCATAAAGAGATATGTGGAAAAAATGATGACGAAACAGGACAAGTGTCCTAGTCCTATACCACCTGTACAAAAAACCAAACATGCAAGACCTTGCTGTTTGACACGTGTCTTGAAGGCACCTTTGGAGAGTCTATCTATATATTGATGACTTCACAATGCACCCTTAACCAAGCACAAACAAATTCGCCGCTTTATCTCAGAAATTTCTGTGAAAAAATCACTAGTTATTCTCAACAATGGCCACAGTGGGAAGGAACGTATCAGCTCCTTTACTGTTTCTTAACTTGATCATGTACTTCATAGTCCTAGGCTTTTCAAGTTGGTGCCTCAACAGGTTCATCAATGGCCAAACTTACCACCCTAGTAAGCTCACACTTCCTATCTCTGCACCACTTTTTGTTTTGTGGATTTATTATTCACTTGATTGATTGATGGATTCATTCATGTTAAAAAGAAAGTTACTTTTCTATCCGAGGCCCCATTAATAGCGGAGACTAATTTACTGTCAAATAATGGTCCTGAGCTATATTGATTTGTGGAGTGACATAGAAAGCATACACCTTAATAAAGGTGTGCAGTTAAATAAAATGACCCTGTGTTTAATTTACGCTGCTTGCAGGTTTTGGAGGAAATGGTGCAACCATGTTTTTCTTAACCTTCTCTATACTAGCAGCTGTTCTGGGCATAGTGTCAAAATTTATGGGTGGCAATCACATGAGGACATGGAGGAGTGACAGTTTAGCATCTGCAGGAGCCACATCACTGGTTGCTTGGGCTGTCACTGCTCTAGCATTTGGGTAAAGCTAGCATGGCTAATTAAATTGAAATTAGATGAAAGTTTGGTTTATGAGGGGTGTGCAATAAGATGGAATTGATTATTGCAGGTTGGCTTGCAAGGAAATAAACATAGGAGGTCACAGAGGGTGGAGGTTGAAGATAGTGGAGGCCTTCATAATCATACTCACATTCACACAATTGTTGTACGTGCTTCTGATACATGCAGGCCTATACAGCAGCAGATATGGTCCCGGGTACCGTGATACTGACTATCCTACGGGAGGAGCTACAGGAGATCCAATGCACAAGCATGCAGGTGTTCCTGCTACTGGAACTCGTGTCTAAACTCCACTTCCTCTCTTCAATCATCTTCTACTTTATCTTTTCCTACTATGTCCTTTTTTCTTTTTTCTTTTTTTTTTTCTCTTTGGTTGCTTTTGGATGCATAGAGCAATGCCTCTGGCTTTTTGTTGCATATCAAAAGTCCCTTTGTAGCATGACATTGTTAATATGAATGAATGGTGATTGTATTTGGTTTTGTATTTGCACTCTCCCCTGCCCCCTATTTTGGGTCTCAAACTACTCTATCTATTTTCAAGAACAAAAATGTTACTGAAAAATAAATTAGGACTAAAACTATATAATGAGGTTAAAAACTTGTTTAACAGATTAATGTCTTCTTCTTCTTTTTTTTCTTTTCACATAGTGAAATTTCAAGTTTTTTAATTAAAATAATTAAATTTTAAATTACTAATTAGTAATACATACCATTATCTTTCATCAATAGTCTTTTAATATTTTAAAATTATCTTTTAATAGTATTTATGGTGAATTTTTATTTATACAATAAAAGAACTGGCGGATAGAAAAGAAAAATATAAGATGAACGTAATGGAACTTATAAAACATAAAATATAAAAAATATTATTAATTATGTAGGTAATTTATTATTATCATTATACGAATAATATAAATTAAAGATACCTCCATAGTAAAACCCTAAACTCTTAATCTACATACAAATATAATTATAAACTCTTAATATACAAATATAATTATAACTAATTAAAAAGAGTTTAGATTCAAATAAATGAAGATAATTATGATTATTTAAATATTTGTGAATAGTTTGCTAAAATGATTTTTAATTTATTTCGATAAATTTATCATGAGCAAATTCATAAGAAAAATTACCATAATGTTAATCTCTTTATCCATAATATCATTTCAATCCAAAATATATTCAAACAAATAAGAAGACATTATACCATGTCCCGTTATCAATCCAGCAAATCATAAAAATTTTAAAAGTATTATTCCTTTTTACTAACTTCTTTTCCTAATAAATTTTTTAAAGTATTATTCCCATTTACTAACTTATTTTCCTAATTTAAAAAATTAAGACTAGGGTGATTTGTAATAAATTTTAAATAATAATGAAGATAGAGTAAAAAAAAAAAAAAAGAATTTAAGCATCCATAAACTTACTCTCAGGCTGTAAATAATCTCATAGGTAAATCCAAAGTCTATTGATATATATATTGGGATCATAAATCTACAAATATATATATATATATATATATATATATATATATATATATTGAATTTTATTAAATTATTTTTATACAATATTTTTATTACATCAAACATGTTAAATTTATGATAGTATATAGATTTATGATATTCTATATATTTACTTTATGATAGTATATAGATTTATGATATTCTATATATTTACGATAGAATAGGTCATGGATTGAAAGTATATAGATATATGATAGTCTATAATAGATTTATGATAGAATAGGTATTGAAGCACAAGATAGATCAGTATATGTATGTATGATAGATGAGGTAAATATTGTATTTATTTAGTATGAATTATTTAGCCACTTCACATATTTTCATTGTTACTTGTCATGTTTAAACCTAATCCTAAATTGGATATATGTTAAGTACGAAGACCCAATATCATCTACATTTCATAAGAACAAATCTAAAATGTGTACTTCACTCACTTGTGAAGAGTAATTTTTACTTACTAATATTTTTCTTACTTGAACAAATAGAGTATTTGGTTGATTTGTATTGATTTTTGTATTAACTGGGTGGGTGCATGGTTTTAGCATGATGATGAATTCCATTTGGTGTGCCTCCACAACACAAACACTTCCATGAAAAGGGATCATAAATGATCTCTCTTTACTCCTCACAAGAGTACTCATCCAAGTCCACAGTCCAACCACGTGCAGTGAAGCTGCTTCCACCCCACTCCGCACGTGGCACCATTCCATAGCCGATGCTCTAAATCATTCACCTACTCCTCCCTCCACACAATCTTCAATTCCCTTCACTTCTTTTCCCTCTCCACAACACACAACACACAAATCTCACTCTCAAATCCAAAACATCAAATTTAAACATACACAAACACACACATTGCACAAAACCAAGTTTCAACTTCATTCATTTTTCTCTTCACTACTCCACTTCAATCTCATGCCAAATCAAAACCATGTCTGACCCTTCCACCACCCCATTGCCACATCCACCACTCTTGCCTGACCGCCAACCCCTCCACCACCACCACTCTGTGCCACTCATCCAAGGTGCCGCCACTGCAGCCGCATCCTCTTCCTCCTCCCTCGCCCGAGAGTACCGCAAGGGAAACTGGACCATCCAAGAGACTCTCATTCTCATCACTGCCAAGAAGCTCGATGACGAACGCAGGCTCAAATCCCCACACGACCCCACCAGGCCTGCATGTAGCTCCACTACCTCCTCCGCGGCCAGAAGCAGCGGCGAGCTGCGCTGGAAATGGGTTGAAAACTATTGCTGGAGTCATGGGTGCTTGAGAAGCCAGAACCAATGCAATGACAAATGGGACAACCTCCTCCGTGATTACAAAAAGGTCCGAGACTACGAGACGAAATCACAACAACAGCAGCAACAATCTCACGATGTCAACCACTTTCCTTCTTATTGGACCCTCAACAAACAACAACGTAAGGAACAAAATCTCCCCTCCAACATGGTCTACGAAGTCTACCACGCCATCACCGAAGTCCTTCAAAGAAAACAAACACAATCACAGACTCAAAGACAACCACAATCACAATCACAACCTCCAGTTGCATTAGCTATTGCCTCATCACCCCTCCCACTACCACCTCCACCACCCCCACCTCCACCAGTTACTTCTACCACTCCGGCAGTTTCAGGTATGCATTAGCATTAGCCTTAGCAATGTGCTACACAGCTCACACACTCTTAACACTTTTTTTTTTTTTTCTTTTTGACAATTTTTGGATGTTGTGTTATGTGTGGGTTATCGGTCAAACTTGCAGGGTCTGTAAACCCTGCCACATTTAATGGGACCCATATTCCATCTTTTTTTTTTTTTATCATATGGTACAATCACCTTCATACTATTTTAAATACAACTTAGTTTGCTACCGTTTGATGAAGCTGTGGAGTGCATCAAGGGAGGTCGATGAGAGTGTGACAGTGGGTGGTATTGGTGGCATCTTACACCACGTTGTTCCACTGCACAAAGATTCTACTCCCATTAAAAAACTTGGGCAAAATGTTCTGGCTTTCATTTCTTTTCTTTTTTGTTTCTAATAATTAAAAATAATGCTGAGAAAAAAAAAATAAAGGGTTCTACAGTACAATCATGCAGACCGGTGTGAGAAAGGGTACCACCTCATGATTGTCATGGATTTTGTGGGCTGTCCAAGAAAATAGATTCTAACTCAGCTTAATCCTCTGGGTGTAATCATTAACACAATCCTTAATCCTTAATATTAACAAAACCTCAAATCTTACTCCAAATTAAACAAATAAATAAATCCTTTACACTCATCCAATGCATTCATTCATTCACCTATATAGTCTCTTCTCATAACCCACTCATGCAAATTAAATACTCATTAAATACTTTCACATTCTGTTGGGGACTTAGTCTTTGTCACATGATATTATATGTATACTTTCATAAAATATGATACTACTATATCATATATCCGCTCTAATAATTAATGAACTTTAATTGTCGTGATGTGACCGATTTTGTGATTGTGTTGTGGAACATGTTTGGTTGTAGAGAGGTCAGAATCATCAGGCACGGAGCACAGTGAGGATGATGATGATGGGTCAGAGTCAAAACGTAGAAAAGTTAAGAACCTTGGTTCAAGCATAATGCAGAGTGCATCTGTTCTAGCTCGAGCTCTAAGAAGTTGTGAAGAGAAGAAGGAGAAACGACACCGTGAACTGATTGAGCTGGAGCAAAGGCGGCTTCAGATGGAGGAAACTCGGAACGAGGTTCACCGGCAAGGCATTGCCACCCTTGTAGCCGCGGTCACCAACCTTTCCGGTGCCATTCAATCACTCATTAATTCTGGACGTCATGGGCAAAGATAATTAATTAATTGATTATAATATGCATATGATAATAATATATGTTTCTTCTCCTAGTTAGTTTATTATCACTATTAGTATGTTATTTATTACAAAATCATATGATATTTATCAGCCATTCTTTTCTCTCTTAAAATCCAATTGTTGTGTAATAGTTGAGTCAGTTTCACCAATTGATTTCACATGGTATATGTCAGCTAGGTGATATGTGATCCATGTTCCAATTCTTTGATGGAGATCAAAGCAGACCCTAAGATTAATGGTTCATTAGGACACAGTTGATCTGGTGATTGTTATCATGTATATAATTTAATTTAATTGTTGTCTTACATTTGTTTGTTTCTCCAGTTACAGAAATTCGTACTAGCTGTTTGACTGATTTGAAATATTGAACATGCCTCAAATTTTAGACATGGAGTTAATGTTTGTGTTGTTTTTACCTTTTGTTGTCCTCCTTTTCTCTGCCACACATCTAACTCGTGAACTTCAAATGCCTGACTTTTAACACCTTATTTCTGCATTCATCTCATACTTTTTTTATCCCTGAAATTAAATTGATTGAAACAAAGCTGTTATGACGATGCCAAATTAGCGGGTGACACATACCAAATGGTTAGTTTGTGATGGGGATTGGTGGGACATAATGGGAGAAATAGTGTGTGGGAAGTATAGTAAAGTAAGAAGTTAATGAGAATTTCTGTGTGCATAAGAGGAGTGAAATGGGGCATTATGGGAATGGAAGGTGGTTTTTGAGTACCACGGATTGAGAGAGAGAGAGAGAGAGAGAGAGAGAGGAGGGGTTGGTGACAAGTGTGGCAGAGGGCAGAGAGTGCTCATCCATTCTCTGCTGAATACAACACACTCCTACTACTACACTAGGGACAGTCAAAGGGTCTGAGTCAATTTCTTTTGACCACATAGGACACCAACCCCACCACTTTGCCTTGTGTACCCTACTCTTCTCTTCCACACTCTCACTCCTCTTCCTCTCATATACGCCAAAACCATGATAGACTCTCCTCAATGATACACTGCATTTCCCAAAATACCCCTCTTCGTCCCATCTCTCTCTCTCTGCCTAGTACAGTCTACAGTCTGCCTTTCCAGCCAGCATCTTTAACTCACCAATCCTACTACTTTATCACCGACGCACTCCCTTACCAAATTCTTCCACATCCTCCTCATTCCTTCTCTGCCACTCTCTCTCCCAAGGCTCCCTTTCTTTTCACACCCTTTGTTCAGTTTAGTCCTTTTTCCCCCCTCTTATCTTCCCTAACCCGTGCTTTGTCTCAAACAACACCTTCCCTATTTGCCTTTGCAACTTTTTCAAATATCGCTTTCCTTGTAAGCACTTTCAGCAAAATAAGAAAGTAATGTAATGTCATTTTTACTATTTCTTGTCCATTTTCGAAAACAGACAGAACAAGTTTTGTTTAAGATTGCATTTTCTTATCACTGTTCGTAACAATGACTCGTAAACAAAACAATTTAAAAACAGATTCTAAGATCCAAGACTTTTCTTTAACATGCCATACCAGGTTGAAGAAAATTAATGGATTGGTTATTATGTTATGTACGTAGTTTGGTTTTCTCATTGACAACTCCGGAAACAAGCTATAGTTAGAGTAGGGGCATAGCTGCCAAAATGGTTCAACACATTACTTTCCTTGATTTTTCCTTGACTTTGCTTCACTTCATATTCGTTAGGGATATAAAAAAATAAATAACTGAAATTAATATTTTTTTTAATTAGTTAGCATGATTAGTTGTGTAGGTAAATTATTTGAACTAAATAATATATATTAACCAAAAAAATTGATAACAACGGTGTGTTCAAAACATTTCAGATTATATTATTTTATATTATATTTAAAATTTTAATATAAATATATGAAAAAGGTTAATTTTAACTATTACTAAAAAACACTTCAATTTATTATCTTTGCCAGCAACTGTATCTAGTTTTAATCTAAAGATAAAAACTAAAATACTCTATTTTTCTACTATTTGCCATTTCCCTTTCTTTATTTTCCTGCAATCGAAGAAGTCTTAAGGATTTGAATTTAATAATAAATAAAATTATCTATTTGTTTTTATTATTTGACTTCACAGAGGGTGAAAAGGTTAAGACGAAAATAACTGAAACATATGTGGGAAAATGAGCAAGGTTAACACAAGAGCCAATGAGTGAATACATGATTATGAAAAATGATATTTATTTTCCTTAAAATTTTTAAAATTTCGTAAATTTAATTCTTGAAAGAAGAAAAATATTTGGTTAGTTTTAAAGTAATAATTATATGTTATTATGTTTTATGTATGTACAATAGAATTCCTCTGTTTTTATTAAAATTTGATATTAAAAAAGAGTATATATATATATATATATATATTATAGAAAACAAAGAATATGTAATATATATATATATATAATAATAATAATAAGGTAGAAAATAAAAAATCTATCATAACTAAAAATAATATAAAAAGAACAAAATAGGATTTGTAATAAAAAAATAATTATATTAATATTTTATAAAATTATTTTACTATTAAATTATAATATTAAATAATTAATTTTATATTAAAATATATTTTATAAGGATCAATTCAATATCAAATTGTACAGTGGAAAAATCAACATTTACATTAAATTAAGGGTTTAAGAACATCTACATGTTTTGGGGCTGCAGGATGAAATTTTGACTGTTCATGAAGAAAAGCCCCATGAACTGTAAATAACAAGGGTCCATTTTCGTGCAGGCCTGAATTTGGTCACAACCCTATTTGGGCTAGAAATTCATAATGAGCATGCCATATAAAATGATATAAAACATAAGAGCGTACGAAAACATAGAAAAGGTGAAAAGCAAACACAGATCCAGTTTCGAAGGAGAATGTGAGTGTAACTGAGATTGGTGATGCCACCAAAACGTGAGCTGGTGACGACAAATGGTGCTGTGTTCCACTTCCACATGTGTTCTTGCTTTAAAAAATAGAGATTCCTCACAGGTCCATTTTTTCTTGCAAATTAAAATTCTCTACAAGAATGCTCTTCTCCAGAAAAAAAAAAAAAAAAAAACAATTTTCTCAGTGATGATGATTTGATAACAACCTACTCCCATTAATTAGAGAAGGTTTCCACATTCATATATTAGTCATTTATAGGATGAAGTTATTTTCAGTATAATGTCATAAGTATGAATCCAGATGAATTATAACATGCTTGGTCATTAATGATTGAAATAAATATCTAAATCCCTATTTACTGATAATGCGAAAAACATTAAACATCGCAAATCACAAAAAGAGAGCTAATGATTTTATAATTATTCATCAACCTATAAACTCTTTACTATATAACCATGATTTCTCTTTAAGTTAAATTATATTTTTCATCTCTATAAACTAAAACGAAATTCGTTTTGGCTCTAAATTTTACAGAAACACTTTTGAAAAAATAATAATTATCTTTTAAAATTAATATTAAGAGACTAAAATTATATATTTCTAGTTTGTAAGACTAAAATAAATTTGTGAAAACTTAGAAAACTAAAATCAGAGTTATCTTATCTTTATCGGGGATTAAAATCAAAATTCAGAACCAGTCAATAAGTTCCTTCTTAAGTTATTTCTTCAAATTTAAGTTATTAATGTTATGTTTGCTTTATAACTAAGCTAGTTGTAGATGTTCTTACACAAGACAAGGACAAGGGTTGGTGTGTGGTCCTGCAAATATTCAAATATATTTATGGGTATTGCCATTAGTGAAATTAGAACTTTAAAATCTAAGTTGTATATTTTTTTTAATATGGTAATTCTGATTAAGTTATAATATAAATTTTGAAATATTATAAGATTATAACCTATTTTTTCATTAGTAGACATTATAATATTAAGAAATTAGTGGTTGTTATTGTAGATTATTTAAGTATAAGGTTATTATTTATTTTAAAAGTCAAGAGAAATTAACTTGTCAATTTTAGACTTTACATCTCCTCACCCTAAAAGAAAATTGAAATTTAATTTATAAATTGATGATTGAAATATAGAAAATATATTTGATAAAAGTTATTAACAAAACATGTTGAAGTACAAATTTTGTGTATTGATAGTTTTGTTTATATTTTAGATTAATTAACAAAAGGACAACTAAACATATAAATGATAATGAAAAACAAAAGTAAAAAATGATAAAGTTATATATTGATAAGAAAGTAAATATAACGAACATGATTAATAAATAATTATTCTCAGCTTTTGTATATAGAGATTGTCCTTTATAAAAGAAACAATCAAATAATAAAAATTAGTTAAATATATCTAATTAATTAACTGAAAATATAAATATTGATTAAACTCTCCATCAAAAGAGTAATCTCAATTAGTCTAATGTTTATACTAATGTTGACGCTCTTATCATCGGACAAATTTAAGAGATATCTCACATTTGCATTTTAAATAAAAATTAAATTAATATTTTATAAATGTGAAATCATTTTAAAATTTCATTAGTATTAATATTTTTTAGATAAGGATGGATTGAAAATTATTATACTAACCTCTATTGCTATCTTTTAAAATTGTAGTGAATGATGTTTAAGAAATATATATATATATATATATATATATATATATATATATATATATATATATATATATTTAATTCTAAGATCGTATTATAAAGTTTCTTATTTACTCTTTATTTTATTTTTTTAATGTAGCTCTCATATTGCATGTTTAAATTGTTTTAAATATAGTAATATTTAAGAGTAATTCATAAAAGAGCAATTAATATGATCTTGAATTTTAAAAATTGAAAAATAAATATATTTTTTTCAAAACTTGTTTCTTAAAAAGAAATGAAAAAAAAAATTGATTTTGACTTAAATTATAATTTTATGATGTGTAATTTTGATTCCTACAAAATTTTGAATTCCTATTTGGTTCTTAATTTTTTAAAAATAAACAATTGTAATCTATCATCAAACATTAATGTACATGTTTAAAATTTATTGTTAAACTCTGTTATTAATATCTTATGCGAATGAGTAATTAGTACTCTGATGATATATATATCATTTAATTAACAATTAGGTGAGATATTATAATGGACAACAATTGTTTAATTATTGAAAATTAAGTTTACAGTTGAAATTTGTATAAAAATAAAATTGATAAATCCTAAAACCATAGAACAAAAATGAGTTGAAACTTTTTTTTTAAATATATAAGAATATTGTAAAATATACATACATAAAAAAATTTACCACAAGTATTATATTACACTAAAACATTATAATATTACTTTTCAAATAGATACATTATTTTAGAATAGTTATTACTGGACAATATGTTTTTAAAATTAAAAGCACCCCAAATCTGATATAAAATTACCTACACCAAAAACTATACTAAATAAATATTATTTTATTTGATAAAAATAAAATGTTAGAAGTACTTAATTATATAATTTTGTGATGAATAATTATGTAGTTATCAAATAAACAAAAATTAACAAATTATATCAAAATAATGATAAAAATATATTCATCAATACTTCCTTTATTATTTCTTAAAGTTCTTGAATATCTTGCTCGATTTCAAAGAAAAATATTTAAGAAAAAGTGTTAAATAAAACATTGTAATATTCTTAATAAACATAACGTGCAATTTGTTTGATAGAGGAAAAAATTAAAGTAAATGAAAAATAATAGAAATAGATGAAAATATAATTGGAATAAAATAAAAACTACAAACATTTAATTAAAAATAATAAAGCAAAAATAAGTAATAAAAAAAAAGATAAAATAATAAATAGTTTCTACGATTGTTGAAACTTTTCGAATCAATTTTTCGCTCTAAAACAAAACAATACCATTTGGTTGTATCTTCCCTTCGCTTTCATCCTTACTAAACAGGGGTTAAAGAAATTTCGTCGTTTGTGGGTCAAAAATACGATTATTAAGAAATTAAGTAATAGATAAAAATACGCATTAAATGACGCGGCAACATTGGAAAACTTCGGTCGGAATCTTGTACCTATTTTTCGCCTATCATCATTGAATTTGAATCGAAGAAACACTGATGCACACGTTAATCTTCCTTTTCTTTTTCTAACCCCAACATCGTGTCCTTTACTTCTCTTCGATCCACCAAGTGCCTGATCCTCTGCTTCAGGCACACACGTTCCAGGTTCTACTTCTCACCTCCTCCCCCCTTTTGTTTTGTTCTTTAAAAATATTCCAGTTTTTTAAAATTATGCCGTATTTGGCTCCTAATAATTACTGGGTATTCCTTAATTTCTCTCTTTTTTCCACCCTCCTGAATAAAGCTTTTGCTTTTGCCCAAATCTCAGTGGATGCAACCGTCTCCTGATTGTTGGATCTTAACCTTGTATTCGATTGTGAGGTTTCTCTTGATGCTGATTGCCTTTGAATGACAAATTATTGCTTTGATTTTAGATATGTTTAAAATTTCAAACTTTATGCCTTGGGGTTTTGTTTGTTTTTTATGTTTTGAAGTTAACCGAAACATTTGGATGATGGTGATATTGCTATTGAATGAATTAGGTGGTTTCTTTGTGGTTGTCATCATAGTCATGATAGTTTTCTTCTGGTTGAATAGATTTTTTTCAATTTATAACCTTTGATTTTGTTTTATTACCTGGTAATTGACGATACGCTTGAATCTGGATGTTAGGTTAAATGGCGAGGATCAAACCTCAGGCTCTGCTACAGCAAAGCAAAAGGAAGAAGGGTCCTTCGCGCTTAAGTGTCACGACTGTTTTATTTTATCTTTTGATTCTTGCCATGGTTGGGTTTTTCCTATATGCTTCCTACAGACATTGGTCCAGCAGGTTAGTGAAAAATTTTCTGTTTTAGCTGTGAAGAAATATTCTTAGTTTCAGAAATGATAGGCGATATATTTTAGTTTACTAGATGGAAAACAAACAAAAGATGTGTTAACACATGATACTTGGCGAAATTGAGCTCTAGCTTCAACTCTAGACTTGTTGAGCATGACCACTAGTGTTATTTTGGATGACATTGTTACTAAATAGAGGAATTTTATAAAATAGCACTTTCTTGCCAGTGGTTTTAACTGCTATCTTCACCGAGTTCTCCCCTTATTCATGATGATGGAACCATTTAGGATCGTTCTGATGTCACTAGTTTATGTTGTCTCTGGTTAACGAAAATTTTTGTTTGTCCAACATGAACTAAAACTTTTCCATTTTTGCATTAGACTTTTTAGAGTTAGAGTGATTTTCATTTTAGGGTGACTAGTTTAAACGGATCAAGCATTAGTGAAATGATTTCTGCTAAGGTTATTATGGTATATATAATGTTGTTGAATCTTGATGTTTATCAGGATGTATTCCACTTTCTCATATAGACTAGGAACTTCAGAACTTTGACTTTTACCTAATAATTCATTTCTCACATGCATTCAGATCAAGATTACAGTCAGAAAATCACTTGTCCGTCTCCAAGGTACATCCTTAAAGGCTATATAAAGTGTTTCATTCAGTCCTTTTATTTTGCTTGTTATCTGATGCCCCTGCATGGTAGTTTTTTTGTTCCTTTTATCTGAAAGGTGCAAATTATGTGTGTTTAGGTTATCCCATAACATTGGGGTGCTGCTAGGTCTAAGTTTTTTTTTTTTTTTTTTTTTTCATTTAGCAATATAATTAGACCACTTATTCAAAGTACATTTTTATAGGGTGAAAATACTAATGTGGACTCAAAGAAATCTGAGCTGCCTGGATATGCTGTAAGTTTGCTTTAGACTGCTAGAATTCCTTGTTTTGGACTTTTTTCTAGTCAAGGGTTTCTTTGATTGGAGAAAACATTTTCTTTTTTCGTTCCTTGAAATAATTACAAAAATATCTACTTGTATTCTATCTGTTTCCCTTGTTCAAAGATTCTAATAGGGAACGGAGTAAAAACAAGGTGATCTTTTGTAATCATTTGTGAAAAACAAACTTCTCTCAAACCAAATAGGCCCAAATTTCAATGATGTTTTGAATACATTAATGAAATTATTTTGTCTTACAAGCTGGTTTTCTCTTTCTTCCTTATTATAGGTTTTAAATACCTCTAAAGGTTCTATAATAATAGAACTATACAAGGAAAGTGCTCCCGAAGTTGTTGATGAATTCATTGACTTATGGTGAGTAGTTGGTTTTCCTACAAAATCATAATTTGGAGGCTGCTGGATGTCTTAGGGTTTGATTCTTGCATACTCTTTTTTTGTTTTTCGTTCTTTTTGGCTGGACATTTGGTTGAGTCGGAACTAATGCTATGTGATGGATAAATAGGAAAACTTTGATCTTTGTTGAGATGAACTAATGATAGTATTTCAAGTTAATTTTACACTATTTTTTACTTGTCCATAATCCTTAGCAACATTAAGTTGAATAAATTCCGACAAAGTAGATATCTGTGCAGTAATATATTGATTGGATCATGCATATGAGTGGTTTTAGATAAAATATATTTTGGTCTTTATTTGATCCAGTTTATAGTTTAATTTTTGTACTGATGTCCAATCTCAACTCCCAACTCATTTTGAGATCTTCCTTAAGATTTAAAGTTTGTCTTTGGTGAATTGAAGGATATTGTGCTATGTTTCATCATTAGTTTTAGTTTATCTTCAAATAAGTTGTTCATCAATAAATTTTCCAATCAGATATATGTAGAGCATAACCCAAGCAAGATACTTTAGTTTTTCTCTTCAAATCTACACGATGATAGTAAAATTTCACAGAATATAGTATGCATAAATGTTTTACAAACTATAGTAGTGGCAGCAAAGCATGTCTATACTTTTAAATTGCTGTATTCACTTGTCAAAAGATACTTTCTTTTTTTGTAATATATGCTATGGGTTAGGATATCGGGACTACAGTTGTACTTTATCTAGATTATTAGTATAAATAAGTTTACATGTTCAGTCAGTCTTGTGTAGCATTCTTTCACTCCACGACTAACATTTATTTAGAATCCTATTCTCTCTTTTCTTCTCTCTGTCAAGTTGCTTAAATTTCAACAACAGACTGTTTAGCATAGTTTTGATTGAACTTATGCATGTAGACTTTCTTATTTCTGAATATATCAGTCTTCAAAGGAAATGACTGTGAAAGATGTGAAATCTGAGTTGAGCACAGCAAGTTTGAGTGTTGTCACATCTCTCAATATAGGTTTTCTAACCCATGTAGTGTAATGGCTGCAAAACAAGGTTGAGTTCTACAACTTTTAATGTAGCCATATAACTCAATATGACAATACTGCCATAACATCTGAAATGGACATATGAGGCCAGCACTTCATGATGTGAATGACAGCTTTTCTGTTCAATACAACTCTATGGGTGGTTTGATGTTTGTCTAACTTTTGTAGGTATCAATTTATGTTGCAGTATGTTTGATATGACTTTGGAGTGGTTTTCTACATTAAATTTGTTAGAGTCTACCTGCTTATGGTTCCAACCTAAGCTACAATTTTTTGCAGTCAAAAAGGGCACTTCAAGGGGATGTTTTTTCACCGAGTAATTAAGCACTATGTGATTCAGGCAGGGGATAACCAAGGAGCTGGTGCTACTGAAGATTGGAACTTGAGAGGAAAGCAACATACTCTTACAAGGTTTTCTTATTCTTCTCTTTGCACTTTTAAGTTTCTGATATAAATTCTTAGACAAAACGCATTAACTATCTAACACTTATTTGCATAATTTTCTAACTAATGGATTTGTGATTAACCAGTATGAAACATGAAGCATTCATGCTCGGGACTTCCAAGGGCAAACACAACCACAAAGGATTTGATCTTTTCATTACAACTGCACCTATACCAGATTTAAATGAGAAACTTATTGTTTTTGGACAAGTCATCAAGGGAGAGGATGTTGTGCAGGTGACCGAACTTACTTTGTTCTTGTTTTGTCTGCATTATGTGTGGAAATCTGTTTCCTTTCCTTTTGTTGCTAATTTTCTACGTTTCATTACCCTTTTCCAATTAGTTAAGAATGCTTTTTGCTCATTTTTTCATGAGTTGACTTTTAACTGTTGTAATTTTTTAAAAATAATTTCCAACAATAAAATATAAATGTGTTGTTCAAAATAAATATTTTTGTTGTTTTTATAACTTTGCAGGTGTTTATAATTAATTTTAAAACTAAGAAATAATGACAATAATGGTTGTAGAAGATAGACACCGTGCAACCCTTTAACTTCTCTATAAATGGAGTTTAATATTCTGTGATTTTCTGTTGTGTCTGGAATGACAATACATCAAGCTGTTTGAATATCAGTTATGTTACTTATGTGTCCGAGAAATAATAGTTTTTAGTAGTTACAAAATGTGCATAGTCAATGAGTTTCATGGTTAAGGTTGATAATGAATGTTACTTAATCCTGTGACAGGAAATTGAAGAAGTGGATACTGATGAACATTACAAACCTAAAGTATCTATTGGGATACTTGATGTTACTCTTAAACAGAAGGTCTGAAGGCTCTCTCGGCTAGATAAGTTTACAACGAGCTGTGATTTTACGTGTTTTGTGACACTGGTCATTTTGTACAGTAATGAACCTTGAGAAAACCTGGGTTCATCTACCAAGTGTCAGAGCCTTGATGTTGTTTTTGTTATTGGATTTTTAGTTAACACAGATTATGCAATCCCCTTTCCGTACCTCATGTCATTTTAATTGTTTTTTTCTTTTTTTAAAAATTGGGAGAATGAGTGGGTTAGGTTTCTAGGCAGAGTTTTGCATTTTGTTTGTAAAAGCGTCACACTATTATTTTGGCATTACTTTTCATCTGTAACCTCATTGAGATCAGAAGATTACTTCCCTATGTAGTTCATGACTTGATGTATCATCTTTTGTGTTTCCATTGATGGGCATTTTGGTGGTGAGTCAGAATGGCAAACTTTGTAAGATAAATTTCAATTTGGTTATAGAAGCCATAACCATAAACTTCATTAACATGGTAGCAATTGGAAACTTGACCATGATAACGACAATTATCCTCTCTTATGCTGAGGTTCTAAGAAATTCGTCACTAAAGTTAAACCTTCAATATTCATTCTGGTGGGATCAAGTCTTAGGAAATGAAACTTTGTTTTTTGTGTGCAATTAGTATGACATCCTTGTCAGTCTTTTAGCAAATATGGCTTATGAAATTGGATGCTCGCGAAACAAAGTCTGAACCATGTTTGTATATTAACGTTGAATCTTTCTGTCTATCCTGTAACAGGTGCTTGTCACCCTGGTTGGGCATAATTACTTTTTGTAACGGTTCATGAATACTTTGGATAAATGTTTTTTATAAGAAAAAATGGATTTTTTTTTTCAAAAATTAAATTAATTTACGCATATGTTAAAAATAAAAGTTTAGAAAAACTATATAAGAAATTTTTCATTAATTAATTTTTTATTAGTTAATTTTAATTTATAAAGAAAATCATTTCATTTCTTTTCTTTTGTTCTAATTAATTTCCTTTAGAAGTGAGTTTAGAAAATTTTGATCAAATAGTTTGTTCTCTAAGATAATTCTTTTAAAATAAAATAATTTAAATTAAGGAAAAAATTATTTATTCACTGTTAAATTAAAAGTAATTTTTAACTATTTTAAATTAAGAAATGGATAAATCTCTACCTTCTTCAGTTGAGAGGAGTTAAATTATTGTTTGTGTGACTTTCACAGTGATGGAGGAAAACGTTACTAGGGACAACAGGTTATGCTAATTTCTTTAACATTTCAACTATTACAGAGCAATTTAAGCATTTTTAAATAAAAATTTAGGGTTTAATTTAACTCCAAAATGTACTTTTTAGATAAGAATGGTCTTTTATTTATATATTTGAGTTTTAGTAGTGCTTCTAGACATCTTCAGCATAAAATTTGTAGAACTAAACATATGTGAATGGTGAAATAACTATTCAATAATAAGTACCTTCATACATTAAATAATATTTTGAAAGATAAACCTTTGAGTGAGATTAAAATGGGTTTCAGTCTAATTTAATTTAAAAAATAATCGAGATAAGAATTGTTTTTAATTCACTATTTTGCTCATATTGTTAATTGGCGTGGAACATAGATTCAAAAGAATGATAATTTTTTAGGTACGATGAGATGTGTTGGTTGGGGGACCAAAATCAACGGAGTGGTATAAAAAAATCAAACAAACATGGAAGGGCTTAACCGTATCAAACTCAAATTGGATTTATCTTATGCACACATGTTTTGCCTTCTAATTTTATCACTTTTAATTATTTTTTAGATTTATAACTTTTTTTTTCTAAATATTAAAAATAAGAGGTATCTAATTTAGTTTTAGAAAATCGACTTATAAAGTTTGTATCTTTATATATAATTGCTATAAGATTTTAATATATATCTTTAAAGATTTTATCACATACGGAAGAATTTCATTCCTAAATCTAAAATATGTATTATTTTATTTTCTTTAATTTATTTAAGTTATTTAAATGTATGATATTCTTGTTAATTGTGGCAAATACTACTATTGGATAATTAAAAATAATAATATCAGTATATTGTATGAAACATTAGATAAGAGTCATAGTGCACATACATGTGTGACCTTATACGAATCGTAATATATCACCAATTTTTGCGTGTTTAATATTTCCTCAAATTCGTCAGTGTTTCTCAAAATAAACCAATGAATGAGTGACAACTTAAGTGGCTTGAAATTGGGTATTGTTTATATTAAGGGTTCCACTTAAACTTTCATGCTAATTAAATTTTTTAGTAAAACCATATAATTTAGTACATGAAAGATAAAATTATGGTCAATTTAATATTTTCAGATGATGAGATCTAGGAATTCAATTCTTTCATATTAAATTTTAATGTCATTCATATATTTTTGGTGCCATTACATTACTTTTTAGAATAATGATGAAATAAAATACTGTTACATTAAATAACGTAATTGCCAAAGTGAGATTTAGGTGTCAAAATAATGTGTATGAGCATATTAAAATATCTGTGTCGTCAAAACGATACAAAAACACACGCATGATCACTTTTAGTGTGCACTACAGGATATTTCTAGCTGATAATCAACACCAATCTTTTGAATTACAAAGATTACCAAAGTGAATTTGATATAATATTTTGTTCTCACAGACATAATTTTGAATTAGTTTCTAATTAGCATGTTTAAAAGATCTAATTAAGTGTCTATAGTATTCTGCATCGAAATTATAAGTTTGGACCTAGCTTTTTGAAAGAGAAAAAAGGATGGTTCATAAAGATATAACTCCATGTTTTAGGGTTGAAACAACGATGGACATTTTGTTAGCGACGGTGATTTGATGCACATCAAGTGATGTATAATGGAGGGTATAGTGATGAAACGACACAAGCACTATTAGAAGCACACAACTTTCTGATGAATATACGTTTTTAGCAGAAGAAATTCGTCGTAATTTGCACACAGAAATATCTTAATAAACAAAACGTGTACCCTGCTGATGTTTATTCATTCTTTGGTTTTGACATGGCAAAAATCTCCATAAAGTTAATCTGACTCACTATATTCTTGTTGCCGGTCATTACTGCTTTCTATATTCTTTATTTTCTGGTTTGCCCTGTGGTATAACTTCTTACGTGTTCTTAAATATATATATATATATATATATATATATATATATATATATATATATATATATATATATATATATATATATATATATGTTATTCTGCACAACCAGTAAATTTATGTAGCTGTTTACTTAGAATCTAGATGTATGCATGCATGTTGTGTATGTGTAGCTGCTGCATGCAAACTTTCAACACAAAATTTCTTAACAAGAATCTGCAGTCTCAATGCATAGCAGTTGCTCAATTAAGAACAGCTTGCATTGCTGCAAGTATTAGATCTTTGTCATGAAAAACAAAAGTCAATAAAAATATAGGAGTTTGCTTCATGCGAGATCAAAGTCTTCGGAAAACATATTACATTCGGCAAAATCAAATATATTTTAAAGAATTCAATTAGAATGTCTTTTCATTTAACATAGATTGTTGTCATATTGTTTCTGGTGGAATTTTGATCGATTTCGATTCTAAAGTAAGTCCTAATCGAAATTCTACCACGTAAGCTCTTTCTGACTTAGGCTAGCAATTTGATTTTCAATCGACAACGTGTATGAGAATCGACAATTACATGTATTGAAAACTGTTTTTGATATTTTTGTAATATAAAGTATCGAAAGCAGTAAATATGTCAAATCGGAAAAGCGGAATCTTTAAAGTGTGAGACAATGTAAAGTGCTAAACCCATTAAGATTGCGTGAAAAGTAAATAACAGGAAATCGACACATGCGGAAATCGAAATGACATTGAATGTAAAGTACAAAAACATGAAATTGCTGAATCGAAATTGCTCGAAAGTAAATTACCAAGGAAAATAAAGAAAACGATAAATGTACTCCGTGAGCAGGGAAATCCAGACCGCTAGAAGCTTCATGGTGTTCGTCGTTTCTCCGGTAGACTTTTCACTACTGGTTCTGTGCTCTGCCAATTTTTGCTCCCCCCCCTTGTTCCTTCCTCCTTTGCTCTATTTATAGGGCATCCTTCAAGCCTTCCGAGAGCAGTTAACACGACTACTACCATGTTCTACGTGCGTATGACAGTTTTATCTTCTGTAGTTTCCCACGTTCTCACGATCTCCGACTTTTTCCCATGATTTCAAAACTGCTCTTTATACGTGCATTCGTCTTCCTTTCACGATTTGGCCAAAGTCTCGATGTCCACGTTGGCTTTCTTTACTCTCGATTCGGTATTTTTCGAGAACTTTGAATTGCTTACAATTCCTTTTTAACCCTGGTCTTATATGACTTAGTTTTTATTCGACAACAGTCATTTGATTATTATTCATTCGATTCTCGATCGTGCTCCTCGATGCTCGTATGCTACGTATTTCTAATTAGACGTCGAATGAATCTTATCGAGTCGCATCTCTTTCCTTCGATTTCGATCACTTTCCTCGATTTGCCACTAACAAAATGCCCCCTTGGAAGAATATAAATGATTTCAGTTTATATTCTTTCAATATTCCCGCCTCAATGTTTGGAAACATACGGAACTTAGGGTTTAGGTTTTCTGGGGTTCTAGGGTTAGAAGGGTTTTAGGTTTTCCTTTCCGTTTTACGTCGCCATCATATCAGTCTGTTGCTTTTACGATGACGCTACATTTATTACTTTTCGTATCCGTCGTTCCAACTCCCTAGGCGATTTTCTCTTTTAACCTTTCTCTTGGTCTTTGTTCTGGTTTTTACGCGAACTTTTATCCTCTTTTGCAATCTTGTCTTCTTCCCTAAGCTCCCGCCCTCGTCCCTGTTTCTTTACCTGTCAACTTCCTTACTACTTCTCTAATCTTATTATAATGGCCTCTTCATCCAAGTCATCTGATTTCTCGGCTCCTCCTCTTACCTCATCTACCTCTACCTTGCTGGAGATTAACAACCAAC